CAAGGATGATGGTGTCTGTGTTGTTGACCATGGAAATGCTTTAACTGCCACCACCAGCACAGATCTTCATGCAGAGAAAGATAATTCACAAGCAATTACAGGTGATGAAAATTGTGCAGATATGCAGATAACAAGCACTGAAACAGTGCATAAAATAGATTTAGATACATGTTCCAGTAATGTGTGTTTACCCCTGACTTATCCTGAGGATCCTTCCTCATCTCCTACAGAAGTAGATTCTTCAAATGTTCCTGAAAGTATTGACCAGAATGCAAATGCAAAGGAATTACCTGTAAGGGGTTTCATTGACCTGAACAAAGGGGTAGACAAAAATAACCTTCATAAATGTTCAGAACTACAGCAGGCGACTACTAGCAAAAACAGTGTGATGCCTGCTGATTTTAGTACAAGAAAGGTAACAGAAACGACAGCGAGGCTTTCATTTCAGAAATCTAAAACTTGTGATGATTTTAATGAAAGACTGTCTACAAATTCAGTTAGTCATGCAGGAACACTTAGAAGGGTCAACAGTAGTCCACAGATGAATACCAAACCACTGACGCCTCCACCATCTTCCTTGTCACTATTTAATTACGCAACAAAAGACAGCTACACAAAATCCAAACTTGGCAGCAAAATTCCAATACCTGGCACCAGTTACGTCACAAAATCCAAAAGATCTTGGAGGATACCAAGAACTGTTGTTGAACCAAAGCCTCTCTCTATTCTGTCAGATCTGGAGCAGCCATCATCGCAGCCAACTAGTGCTTTCACTTGTCCAGATCTTCAGAAGTATTTGAATGTCCCATCAAATCGTGTAATTGTAACATCAGACAAGCAGGAAGAGATGCGAATTCTTGATGCGCAAGCTAAAGAACAAGAGGAGCTTGATGAAAAAATGATGGACGATAGAGATAAAAATATGGATGATGATATCAGCTTAGACTATAAAAATTTTGAACCAGATTTTGATGAAGTCGATGGAATGTTGTTTATGTCATTTTTTAGTGAAATTGAGCTGAGAGCTCATGTCAGAGTTGAAAAAGCACTGGAGTGGGACAAAGATGACACGATGCTCAGGGTATCTCGAGCTAAAGCATTTGAAGACGCCAAAGCTCAGAAAGAGGATATGGGACATTTTAAACTGAAACATCTTAGGGGTCAACATATGCGATGGAAAAAATACCGACGAATGTATAGCAATGAGGTGAAAGCACTGATGGAAGCACAGAATACTGAACAGTCACAGGATAAGCCTCCAGTTACAAACAAGACGTCTGATCTCTCCAAAATCAAAGGCTGGAAGAGAAAGAATGCTTCGATGCCAGAAATTAGCGGTGATGTAAATGATAATTTTCATTGGTTTTTTGATACTAAAAATATAAGTTTCAGTGGGCATAAAAATGAAGTGGGGGAGTGTTTTAGCCCGACTGTATATGACGATAGCATGTTTGATGATAGTGTGTATTTCATGAGTGAGAATATGATGGCAGACGATAATGACAAACCCGAAGTATTATCACGATCCCGCCGCCGGCAAGGATTCAGCCACCAGAAAGCTCACAGACAACTGTTCAGAGAGTTACATATGGACTGGGAGGATAGAATGATTCACCGTAAACTTGGTGGGTGGTCGTTAAAGGGTAACAGACCTCAAGCATATTCTTCTGCAGCTAAGAAACGCCAGGAACAGAAATCCAAAGAAGTCGATTCTGGGGGTTTTGAACTGAAAGATGTTAATATTGAGGCAGGTTCGTTTGAAGAAATAGAACTTGAAACAGCAGAATTCAAAGATCAAAGTGAGGACAGCAAGAAGAAAAGGGCGATTAAGATCATTTATCCCTTGGTAAGCATAACACATCTTTTATGTTTGTTCACTTAACTGCCACAGAATGATGTCTTGATTACGTCTTGTATGCTCTGTTTGTGATAGTTGTTAGCTTGTAGCTAGCAAATATGTGTAATTATATGAATATGTAAGACTAATTGTTCAAATGTTCATGCTATTTGTGCATGCACATGTGGTGCTGGACCTTATTGTTAGACTGACTGCTGTTTGACATGTGGTGCTGGACCTTATTGTTAGACTGACTGCTGTTTGATCAGTAAACAGAAACAATCAGCTTAAGCAGAAACAATCATATGTGCAGACACATAGAAACAAAGAGACTGACAGATACAGCACAACTTGTACATATCCATCAGATCAGAAAAGTGAAGAGGTTTTGAAAGAGGCAGGAGCCCGAAGACAACTTATCACAGACATCAGAAGGAGACAGTCATCATTTTGTTATGAGAAGAAGGAAAATGGAACATGTTGTGACCACAGGAAAGATCTGGGGAAGAAGGGATAGAGGAAGACAACGAGAGAAGATCCTTGACAGTCTAGTTGCATGGCATGGAGGTGTGCTAGCACATGAACTAATACATGCTGCAGGAGATTGTGGAGAGGCATAAACGCCCCCGCCAGTCAGCAAGTCTCATGATGATGTAAATATATTAATGCTAGTATTTCTACACTTTGCTGTACATGGGAACTTCCCACTGTCCCTAGTTGTCTGAGCTGTTGTGTGTGTGTGTGTGAAATATTGAGGTCTGTTTCTTTCATAATTATCATTGTTTTGGCATATTTGAGACCTATGTGGTCAGCAGATTCTAAGAACATGTCTTTCTTGGTCTACCTCTTCTCTTCCCCTCTCTTTGAGTTAGAAGAAGAATGGAACACTTATGGGTTACACCCGTGTGGCATGATGTTGATCTGTTGAATAAATTAAAAAAACAAATCTTCCCCTCTAATGAAGGTGAAAAGTGAAAATTGTCGCCTGCTGCTGCCCTTGACCACACAAGCCAAGCCTATCCCCTGTAGGGCAGCCTGGTAATTGTATTTGTGATCATACTGGCCGAGGGGAAATGGTCACCTGGAAATGATTGGGTTCCACTGAGTTTTCAATCATGCCTGTGATGCACCATGTTGGCAGATAAATCAGATTATTCTACACCACCTTGGTTTTAGCTTGAGTCAATGAGATAAATTTCCATTCATTTTTTTTTTTTAGTTTTCTTGTTCTGTATTTGTTTGAGGATTGCTCAGTATTACTTTGGTTAAGATCAGTAAGGTATTGCTTTTCTCTCTCTTTCAGCTTACCGAAAAAATGGCCAGAAATGCATTAAAAACTCTGTTGGAGACTGGGGATACCCAAAGAGGGATGAAAAGAAAGAAGAACAAAGCAAGACAATCCCCAAAGCAGCTACCGGCCTTAACTCCCTTGATATGCAAGTCAGAACCTGATGATGAAACAGCCAGCACCCAGCTAATTGATCCTGCTGGCTTAGTCTTGTCTGCTGCAACAACACTTCTGACGCCCTCGGCAGCATCAAGTTTTACTTCTCTGTCCTCTCCTTCAACATCAGTTGCCACTGTTCCTCTCGAGATTGACCTGCAGGATGAACTGGTGATGGAAGGGGTGGATATTGCAGCAGAGAATATATCCAGTCCTTCTGTCACAGACACATCCTCAATGAAATCATGCGGTAAACCAGGTACACTGTTCTCTGTTGTTGCTTTTGTATGATACATACACTAGATAAATCATATCAGCCAGCCGTCTTGTGGTATCCAGATAGAATGTGATATTGTCCTTATCATCCAGCTGTGATGTGACATTGTCCTTATCCTTCAGCTGAGATGTGATATTGTCCTTATCATCCAGCTGAAATGTGATTTTGTGCTTATCGTCCAGCTGTGATGTGATACTGTCCTTATCACCCAGCTGTATTGAGATATCTCCCAAGTGATCCACCAGTGAAATGATCCATACCATCCAGCTGTGCACTGAACTCCATTTCTCGTGGGAGCTACTGTTGTCTTCGTTACCCAGCCTATTGCCAGTACATGGACAGAAGAAGAAGGTGAAAATAGTCACGACTGAAATGAAATGTTTACATACAGTGCTAAATGTAGCGCGGAAAGATTGACTTAGGAACAATGATATCAGGAGGAGAGTCAGCACAGAACCAATACTGAATTTTATAGGTAGACAAGTCAAATGGTTTGGCCATGAAACAAGATTGGCGTCAAATAGGGCACAGCCAAGATCAGTGTAATATAGATACAGCGGCAACTGCCCCAGAGGTTGACCGCGCAGAAGATGGACCGCAGAAATATCAAAGACACAAAAAAGTACTTCATATAAAGCGAACAGAAAGGCCAGTTCCAGAGATCTCTTTTTGCCCTGACGCCGCAAGGCATCCAAGGAGTAGAGAAAAGAAGAAGACAAATGCTTCCCTTGTCACACCTCGGTTGGCAACCAGTATATTTGATCATGCTGCCTTCAACTTCTAACCAAGTACACTGTACTAGCAGCTGCGAGCTTGAATATCAGTTACAGTAGAATTTCTGTAGGTTGACCACCGGAGGGACTATAGTCAACCGGTTAACTTAAGGAATGGGGCATATTGTTGATACTATATGTCCGTGCACACCTTATATTAGAGAATACATTATCAATAGATACAATCAGCAGGCAGCACTCTGAGACTTGATCTAATACCACAGTAGATTTGATCAGCCGGTCAGAAGTTAATAATAAAAAAAAAGAATAATGTATTTGTGAAAACAACTTGTGGTATAAAAGATAAGACTACATAAAAATAAACATCAGATTGGATAAAATGGGTTAGATTTAAGAACGACCTATAATAAAAGTTTAAGATGAAGCTCAGTTTACTTCATCATGAAAAGTTCACACACATCATGGTGCCTTGACTGAACTGTGGATTTAAACAACCACTAAAGACAAGACAAAATGCATTTGAAAGTCTTTATATTCAACTCTGCAAAGTGCTATTTATGAATCTGTCAAAGTATTGCTAGAGCTTTATGTACATTTATATTAATTTTTGTTGTTTTTCATAACTTAGGCTGTCGATATGGATGTATATGTCACCTGTGCTCTGTCAATGAAAGTTCAGCTCCCTTGCCAAGCCTTCTGAGCAGACAGTCCGCACCAGCCTGTGACAAAGAATATTGCAGACTTGGCTGTATCTGTGACAGTATAGACCATGAAAGACCGATTGCCAGCAAAACTCACTGTCGAAGGCCATCTTGCATGTTGCAGTGCGTGTGCCTAGAGTCTGGCAGTTTTGATGGCAATGAGGATATTCCTTACCTCCCATCAATGAGGAGGCGGCCTAAGCCTGGTGATCGCTTCTCAAATCTTCCCCAGCGAGAAAAGACTCATCGTTCGGCAAAAAACCTAGATGCTGTGACAAGAAAAGCCATGATGTTGTATGAAACTAGTGAGATCTACTGTGAAAGGGTGGAGCGAACTCGTAAGAGAGTAAGTAACTATCCTGGCTATAAATTTTTGAAATGTAAAGATAAGTAATCTTTAAAACAAAATATTAGAAGCAATTAAAACTGTCAGAGAGTCATAGAAGACAATTAATTAGTTGAGTTCCGTTAAAAGTTGAAATGCTTCTGTCTGAGAGGCGAGAAACTAACAGTCTGCTTTTAAATGTGCCACATCTTAAAAATCAGATGTGCGTGCGAAACTTTAGAACAGTGCCAGCAGTGGATAAACAATGGGAACTTTGTGCCGAAGTTTACAGCCTGTGAAGGCTAAGAGGAAGAAAATATCAGTAATTAGAAATCATCCAGTGCCTTGCTAACCGATGCCTCAAATTATGCTTCTCTCACATTGCCAACCCCCACCCCCTCCCCCAAATGAACAGAGGCAACAGCAGCACAAGAGGAAAGAAATTAAAAATGACAGAATAAGATTGGAGATTAACAGAATGGGTTACATGTAAGACAACTTGCTGGTGGCCTATGCCCCCTGTGGGGGTTAAAAGGCAGAAGAAGCACTTAGCAATTGGGGTTACTGTTTCACTACAAATGGACCACTTGCTATGTTTCTGTGCCCATGAAAATCACACAAATGCCCTTTACCATTCCAAAACTTGTGAGCAAACAGTTAGTCTTGGCAGAATCCTTAAACATGCACAAGCAGTGATAACGTTAGACAATCATTAACACCAACAGTTGCGACAAGAATTGAAGTTTTTTTGTAGGTTCACAAAGTCGGCCTTGACAAACTATTTGCGCCTGCATTAAATTATTGTATAAGACACTTTGCCAGCCTGCATGCACAAAGGCCATCCACTATTTCCAAATGTCATGACACAAATTGCAACAAACAAGATGAAAAGCATTCCATAGAAGAAGTAGAATTAACAAACCTCTTTCCTGGTATATTAACAAAACCGTTATGTATTTGCAGTCTGACATGGCCAGCAGTCCGGCCAGCACATCATTTGACACTAGTCTGTTGGCTGCTGCTGTGCCCACCTCATGCTCCTCTGCTGCATTTGATATTGACAGTGTCTCAGATCCCTCAGAGGACAGCAGCTTTCAGACCGACACTTTCAGTACTGATGTTCCTATGGCATCTGAGACCATGGGATCAACACCATCACATCCATTCATTATATTCAACACCAGCCCTCAGGTATACATGTTTGTAGTCTGTGAATGTTTGGTTTATGAGTTGCAGAGAAGATAGTCAGCCTGATTTATTGGTTTGCAGGCAAGGTAAAGTGACATTGTCATATCATTGCAGGCAAGGGTAACTGACATTAACTTATTTCATTGTGGACAAGGGTAAGTGACAGTAACTTATCTCATTGTAAACATTGGTAAGTGACAGTAACTTATCTCATTATAGGCAAGGGTAAGTGACAGTAACTTATCTCATTGTAGACATTGGTAAGTGACAGTAACTTATCTCATTGTAGACAAGTGTAAGTGACAGTAACTTATCTCATTGTAGACATTGGTAAGTGACAGTAACTTATCTCATTGTAGGCAAATGTGAACAGTTAAGTGGTGAAAAAAAGTGTAGTTTACCTAGCTAAGCATGACAGCATAAACAAGATCAGCAGAAACAACCGGATCAAGATCTTTAGACTCTTACATGCAAACTGCACAATGTCTACACCTTCTTGAAGTGAGTCCCAGGAGTTCTGCCCAATGTAACTTCAGAACACCAAAGTTAGATCCTTCAAGACCGCCCAGAATATGCCAGACAGAATCACCCACCTTAACAATCCCACAAGACACACTAAAGAGAACACCCATGATGCACCAAATTGTTTACATTTGTTTTGACAGAATAAACACATGGCAAACATCCATTACTGAGAAATGTGTCATTGAGGTTTTTAACTTAACAGTTTTGTTATGTAGTATAATAATTTGATGTAGATTGTACAAATTATGTGTCATTATCATCATCTTTTTTGCGCTGTGTAAACTTTTTCTAGGGCTACCAGTCTATCCACTCCATTCTAGGCCGCTCAGTATTGTTGATATTATCGAGGGTATCCAGTCCAGAACCTTGAGTCTCTCTAATTAGTATTCGTTGGTGGTTTATTTGGGTGTCCTTAGTCCCTTTGTTTCACATTTCACTGCCTGTTTAGAGATTCTCTATCCAATTCTCTTTGTGGGCTCAATATGTTAACATCTTCTTAGTCTTATAACTGTTGATACCAGCTGACATCCAGACATTTTTTTTTAAATTTTATTCCCTTACCTTTCTTGAAATAATTCAGTTGGCACTAGTTTATTCAGCTATTTGCATTAACCCTACCAGACCTAATGTCCTAAACCTAACTGCCCCATATACCTGAGCTCCTGGGCATTAACACGAAAAACCAACATGATATACACAAATATTAGTAAAATGCATACAAGTGACTAGAATAATATGAAACTTTGAGACATTGTAGAAAATAGGTTTCCCTTTTATCTAGCGCCAATATTCCACTTTCGTTTGCCAATCCACTTAGCAGAACCAGCCTTGTTTCACAAAGTAAACACCAGATGTTGCTGTTGAGGGACACACCCTCTTCTACTATCGATCTATTTCTAGATTTAAAATTGTCAAGATTCTCCTCATCATTCGTCACTTCAACTGGGAACGTATTCTTCATGAAATTTTTACTGCAGAGTCTGAATCAACCAAAGTATTGATCACCTGTTTGTGAAAAGCCTAGACCTAATTCACTTTCCTATCGAAGTGCTTGGTTCATCAAAATTTTTTCACGTTAATCAACGCAAATGTAATCAAAAAATGCGTGGGCAGCCATTCGCAGTGACTAATCACGTTGTTTGATCACAATTGGTTGGTTATTTTTAGTTTTTGACGCATTGTTTTCTCATAGTACGCAACAAATTCCCAACATTGAGGGACAGCGGTTTAGCTGCAGATTAGGACATTCCAATAATAGCGGAACAGGGGTCTGGTAGAGTTAAACGATTGTTTCATGTCTTTAATGGTTTTCCTTAATTCACTGGTATAAATAAGAATAAGAGTAAAATAAATTACATAATTATAATGTATAATTTAAACTGTACTGTGCATTCTGAATACATTTTAATAAATATTTAAAACAGTCTGATATTGTTTATTTCATGTAATCTGTACAATGCAGCATCAGCACCTCACAAGACACAACACAGGCCGGTTATCTAAACCAGCTTTTATTTTAGATGATGTGAGACAGACTTTTTCTATATTGGAGCCATCTGCACATAAACGGCAAGTGATCTTTTATTTACATGATGAACCATTTTAAAATTAGTTGGTTTTTATTTTAAATTGTAATAATAATTTTATCTGAAGAGAATAAGTTGTTTTAACTCTTCATGTCCCAGGTGGTTTTGCATCACAGGCCCAGGGGGTAGTAAAGAAAGTAATAAAATCGGCGCATCATGCGTTCATTGGGATTCTAGGTAGGAACCTATGAAAGTATGATGCGTTCCTTGGGACTCAAAGAGTTAATTGTAACTAAAAAATTTTTTGTTTAGTAAACAGTGCTTGATAACTGCCTTTTGTCTGCAGTGGAAAATTGTGTTGCCGTGAAAATTAATCCACATTTGAAAAATGAAACAGTCAATTGCCGAGGTTTGGAAGAGACTGGGAATGAAAAGGAATATGAAATATTTTACCACATTAAAAAACATTTGTTAGAAAAAACCATCCTGTAAGGAAAAGTCGAGAGCAAGAGGTAAGCACCGATACAAATGGGAGGTCAGCATCAGGCATTAAAATATAGATAAACATTAGTCTGAGAAAGAGACAGATAGTGTTGGAGATCCATTGCAGCCAACCCTTTTTTGGTGAGACGGCACCTGAGTGATTAATAAGATGTACACTGTAAGAACAAAATAGTTAACTTAGAAATGAACATGTTGTTGGAGAAGCGGCTGGCCAAGTATCACTAGACTCAATTGGGATGCCTAGGTTTGAATCCTCAGTAAGGTGATGTATTTGTGGGGGCGAGTTCTAACTTGCAAGGTTAACAGTGACTGCACTAATCTGTTGTCCACAAGCCTAAGATACCCCTTTGTCTGTATCACCCCACAGAATGGTGAAGTTAGTTGCAAGCAAGCCGTCTTTAGTAAACTCCTTTTTACACTGTGCTGTGTACAGGTTATACTGCTAGGCTCATGTTTTGTGTTATCAGTATTTATTCTGACTGCCTTTACTTCTCAGACAATCTCCTGCTGCCTTTTTCAGATTTAAGAGTTAATTCACTTGGGAACTCAAGGGAGTGCAGAAATCGTGGCCTCAAAGGGGTTGAGGCACATGACAGTTGGTTGGCAAGCAGTACAAGAGTGAGAGATTTATATGAAGACAAGCCATCCCTAGATTTTCTTGAACAGTTAAATTAGCGGATAATACCATGTTTGGCAATTACACATATTTGGTCTAGAAAGATTTTATCTCAAGGGCATCCACTTTTAGTACCTTTAGCCTACATTCACTTTACTCAATCACTCAATTTCTAACAGTTACGTAGTTCAGAATATTAAAAAAAAAACTTTAAAAAATGCACATGTGTGTTGACTTTCTGTCTAGATAAATAATTATTGCTATGATGTATTTTGCAGGAAGAGAAAAAGTCATCCTCTGTCAGATGAAATTTTTATATCTTCAACATGTGCTCGAACTCAGCCATTTAAATTATTAAATGCTTGTAAAGGAATGCGAGCTGCTGTCACCAGTAAAGATTCCGAAGAGGTTATTGAAGCCTCATCTTCTGTGTCTGTAGATTCCACTTGTCCAGTTTCCTCAACTACTTTACTGCCATTGCCTTGTAAACATCTGGATGTAAAGCTCACAGATACAGATAATGATTCAAAGGAAATGATTCCAAAAATATCTTCTGTTCATACACTAGCTTCAGAGGGACAAGATGTACAGCAGTGGGAAAATGCAGAGTCAGAAACACCATTGAGTGATTGTGTGGTGACTTCTTCTGATTCCGTCTCACACCAACGATTGCAAAATATGACAACACTCCAGCAGACTTCTGCTCAGAGCAGTATCAGTAACGCTGGCTCTCAGCGACAGTTTCATGGCTGGCATAAATCCATGGTTTGTCTCAAGGCCAGATCACCGCCATCTTCACAAGATCCAGGGGAGGATGATGTTAAAGAAGAGGATGAGGTGAAACTATTAGAATTTACTGCAAACTGTAACTGGGAGGGAGCAAAACGGGCAATACTAGCTAAAGTTGCTCAGTGTCTGACAAGAGGCCAGTACCCACAGCCTCGGACCATGAATGTTTGTGAGTTTGTTGTTGAAATTTTACCGAAAGCTCACCAGCCTAGTCACATTCCAGCAGAACTGCGGGCAAAACTTCCAGGTCAGATGTACTCTATAAGAGTCCGAATCACCAGAAGAGAGTCTCTAATCAAGAAAGAGGATGACAATGACGTCATTGATCTCAGTGGGTCACCTTCTGTTAAATCAGAAAGTGGCATTGATAGTATTGATTCCTCATTGAATGAATCATCTTTCACGTCTGCTGATCAAAAGCCTGGCAGATCTACCTCTGACTCGACATTCCTGACATCTAACTCAGTGGGTATATCTGGTCTCAGTAAACTTTTCATTACTAGCCCTCCTGTGTCTGGGCAAACTCAGAACTCCAGCAATGATTATCAGAATCTACATTCTTCCCAGACAGGGGGTGGACCCAGCTTCCGACGACAGAGCTTAGAATCTGCTTTGGTTTTCAGCTCCTCTGAATACAAGCAGGCAACAGGCCACCACACCATGACTGTACAGTCATCATTAGGAAATAAACCAAAGTCCTCTACTTTCTTAAGATTTGGGAATTCAGCATCCCAGAAAACTGTTTGCTGTGCCTTGAATAGTGAAAGTATAAAAACTGAAACAGGCACTACGGTGACATCCAGTTTAAAAATAGCTAAAAATTCTACTTCCAAGAAACTAAATATAAAACCATCAAATGTCTCACAAACGAACCAATCATTTGCAGCCAAACCCGATTCCTCTGGTGTGACGCCCATTTTTGGCCCATTTAATGCCAAAGATGTCAAGTACATGATGTCTGGTAAGGAAGGATCAATGCAGTTAATTGAAATTGCACCAACTGGGGATAAAAATAAGAAATTGATAGCCGTACCCATAACTTT